ATGAACGTTTACAATTAAAATAACTATAATCATCACTATATGCCACAAGTCGGGTTTTCTGTGTTACAGTGCTTACACTGGGCAAATACACACACACACACACACACACACACACACACACAACTGATTTGTGAATGAGGTCGAAAAATCGGTTGAGCACATCTCTCTCTCTTTCTCTCTCTCTCTCTCTCTCTAAAATATCAAAGCATATGAAGTTCATGATTGAAAAGAATTCGCAGCTCGCACATTCCGGAGCAAGGCAAATGCCTTTCCATTCATAAAACCGCTTTTCGGCATTCTAATTTTAGGACGCTACGCTAGATTTAGAAATCTCTTTAAGATGTCAAATACAGAAGGGTATTACCTAGATGTATGGTTTGTTGATGTATTTGTAACATTTCATAGGTGCAGTTTTCAGGATGATGTGTTTATTTTAGTTATTTAGATTGAAAAAACATTATGAATTTTTTCAATGACTCGTCCTCAAATAACATTCATGTTTCAGTGGATATCGTAAAAGGTGTTTTGTTTTGTTTTATATCTTACCATTTCTATTGGGATAGTACACGAGCACTATTGATTTGATACGGAAAATATCCAGATGAAAAATGTTTGTTAGCGAAAATTAAGACTTTTTATTTTAAAGATATCCCTTAAATTGCCAAGTCGCACTTAATTCGGCAGATAAAGTGGACCTCGTGGTTTTTCTAACCACACGCGAACATACATCAAATATCACCAATACAGTGTATGTGTGTGGTATGTGAAGATAGTAAAGCATGTATGTATTTATGCTCTGTTTTATTATTCTGTTTCCTACGTTAAAGCACTTCAAGTATAAAAATAAATTGCGTATTGGCTTAAAAAAATTTAGGAATAGATTTCATAGGAAACAACACTCAACATTTTGTATGGTATGGTAAATGGTAAAGTGATATCCATCATCGAAAACACGACGCCAACTGCTACAATATTTGATCTAAGCTACGACAAACAAAGAAGAATTTGAGACAGACGCGGAAAAACTGGGTAAAATGCATTCTCTTCAAATTGAAAACTAAACTTTTTATGACTACTCGGTTCATAGTCGACCTTGTCACCTTTAATTATGCATCTGGATAATTACAATTGCAACAGAGCGAAGAAAAAAAGGAACACATTGCAATATCGTCATCAACATTTTTAAAAATTTGTGAAAAGCCTGATGTTGATGTCCGTGCTGATATTTGCAAATCGCTCGATAAATCTACAAACTATTCCAAATATTCTAAACATTTATAACTGGAAACAAACGAGTTGTATACTAATCTGTGAAATCCTTGTGTGAAAGAACGTCACAACGTCTGGGCCCCAGCAGGTACCCGATTCCATCACAAATGGCACTGTTCAGAGAAATATACCTAAAAGCATAAGCAGCAGGTGTGTCTTGAAAAATGCGTAAATATTTTGACCGTTAAAAAAGTTGAACTGAAACCTGAGCCATGACACACCGTCACGCTCTGTGTTAGGAAAGCATTTTCACTGTGTCCCGATTGTAATCATAAGAGAACATGGGGCGTAGTGGCGTGTCACCAGCAATGTGGGGGGCACGTAAAAAAATTCAGTGAGTTGGTTAAGTGCGTTGGTCAAAAATATTCAAAACAATAATAGCAGCGCGTTTTTTTTCTTTTTTGTTGTTGTATGAAAATCATCGGAGGATAGCCAAAGCAACTAAGTATATTAATCTTTAAAAAAAACATTAATGATAAAACATAGACTATTAATTGCACCAAAAAAACATCGAAAAAAGTTCAGTGGCGCAAAAAAAAAAAAAAAAATAATAATAATAATAAAATGCACTGAACGCCAGAAGTGTATTTTTAGATTTTTGATATAGACATGAACTTTCAGGAGTTTAATTTCATCATACAGAAATGTACGTTTTTTTCAGATTACGAATGTTTGCATGTACATTTCAGATATTGCCTTCCCAACACCGCTGCCCAAGCAGCATTCTCTAAATGCTCTTAATGTGTACCGAACAAATAAGTAACACCAAGAAAGGTGTGCAATCGGTGTTTTATTTTAGAACTGACGTAAGTCTCAAATACCGATGTTCACGTTCAACGGAGAGTAAGTTGGGTACTGATTGACATGTTTGCCCCCAGTACTGTTTAATTACTTCACACATGCCCTGCCCTTTTCTGCCGCCTCTGGAACCTGATGTGAAAATATCAAAAAAATCGTCTCATCCTTCCTTGCCCTGACCGTCTAGCACAATCTTTTTCTTTGAAAGACCAAAGAGATTTCTTATAGATACAGAAAACAGTTATATTTTCGATAACCACGTGATATGTAGAACAGAATACATTTGTTTACCTTTCCCCTGAAGTCTGAAAACTATATAACGTAAACCTTCTCAATTTTTAAAAGTTGATTATCATAAACCTTGAAATTGCAGAAGTTGTCTTTCCAAAAAGTTATTTTCAAAATTAAAATTATATTAAATTAAAACCGTTTTCAACAAATTCAAAGCTGTTAATATGCACGATTGATGTTATAAGTTAATGATTTAGATCTTCTCTTCTGAAAGTACATTAGTATGTGTGTGTCTGGTAGGAAGCTGTTTCAAACTACCGGCAAAGATAGCGTAAGCGGACCTAGCCTCTGCGCATGCGGCTCGTCAAGAGATGTTGATACGCTGTTGTAGAGAGATTTAACGCTTCATGAAGTGACTTAAAGATCACTGAAAAGCTAATCGCCATGTCTTTATTTTTATCAAAAGTCTTTAGCTCAAGGGTAGAATTAATTACTTTTGCTGTATATAGTATTGAGTCTGTGCAGTGCAAACATTTTGCAACTTTTTTTCTAGTTTCAACCACTTTTCCGGTTGTTTAATTTCAGTAAGTTATGGGCCAGACTTCCTCTGATCCAAATCGACTATTTGTCGGGTAAACGGGGCGAGGTTACATTAGATTCGTTCCTTCACGCGATTCTTATTTTTAATGAAAATTCGAGAAAGAGATGAAAACGACTGACCGTTTTCTTCTTACGTGTCGGACACATACAGTATGTTATTTAGTATCGATTAAAAAGATTAATTGTTTTGTAAAAATATCTATTTACATCTGTTGCAACAAATCAATCTGTGTGATATTGGGCAAATCGACTAAAGGCACAGGGGGCGATTATCTAAAAAATTAGACAGCCTTGCTCACAACATTATACATAAATATATATATGGAATACTTTGAGAGAAAAGCATCGAATACGAGGTAAAAGCCCGTGGAGTGAAAAAATTCTGTCAGACTTAATTATAGTATTTTTCACCTACTTTAATTTTTAAGAACGTCATCTCCAGTCAACATTGTAAATTATTTCTCGATATCAAATCATGGGTGAAAATAGACAGATTTTGTTCTCTATGATATGATGGGGCGTCTCGAGTGCTGCCCAATCACTGTAAGAACGTCGATTTAGGGACCATTCCAACAGATATTTGGATCGATCTATCTCCCTGGGGAGTCACACTAAATTGCTACCACGCCTTAAATGTCTGTCACGCCTAGTAAGCTGTTAGGGGATAATTATCTTTACACCCTAGCTGATTCGGTAGGCGTGACAGACATTTAAGCCGTCAAGTTGATAGCAATTTAGTGAGACTCCCCAGTGAGTAAGACCGATCCAGATGGCTCGATTTGGCATGGGAACCCAGTCTAAAGGTCGACCATGAATCGAGTAGCCATAAAAAGTTTCTTTCCAACTCTGGCTTGTTCTTGAAGGGAGTTCGTTTTTTAACACAGCCTTTCCGGGTGTGACGCACACTCCTCTTTGTTGGTCGTAACTGAGAGAGGAAATAGTTCAATGCTCTGTGGTTGGAGGTAGCCAGACTGCAGCATATAACTGATAAATCATAAATTATTCTGTCGAAATCAATAATCTGTCTATCATAATAATGAATCCCATGGCGCAACTAACGCAAAATAAAATGAGAGTACGACTGGAAGTATTGTACAGATTTGATGAATTGCTTCCCGTAAAATGCGGTAGTTGTTCCTTATAAGACAATAATGCACTTAAGACGATAATGCCCGGAAAAGCCATGACTTAACTTAATTTCTCTCTCTTCCCGCAAAAGATGAGCCGTCTCAACTTTCTGTAACAATCTGAACGAAAATCAAAGGCAATTTTTAGTACACAGATCTCGTGGCATTCAGCTCACTCCATATGACATTAGTGCCTGTAATGCGGAGAAAATATAGTGCCGTATGAAGCTAAATTTGATTTTTAAAAATTTAAGTGGTGGATATGAACTGTTTAAAATTGTTTCAGATTCCCAACCATACCATGGTTGACGTCCATATTGAGGAGTGCTGGAACTGTCGTTAGTGGGAGGTTAAAAAGAGGAAATGAACAGAACCGAGCCATCTTTCGTCAAATTCTAGTTTACCAACCTGGCATACACCACAGATGCCTTGTTTAATGTATTATGACGCTTGCTTTTCGGTTATAAAGTATGGGTCCTTTCTTTACTCCCCCACCCCGTAAAAAAACCAAAATTGGCTTTCACGTGTAATGTTGTATAGCCTATAGCTCTTTGGGCTTTCAAATCAATTGATATGCAAGGTTTTTATTAATGGAATAATGTAAATGGGATTTTAGTGTAATCTGGTTCAATACATTTTAGGGACCACTTCAAGGACTAACAATTAGATTTACCACATAATTACTTTCACCAGTAAGGGACATAAAACCCACTCGCTCAACTTAAAAAGCTGTAAAATTACGCCCTCAGCCTCAAGTTACTTTATGGTGTACATAAATCGGAGGGGCTTGTATTCCAAACATTAAGCGCTAATTGGCAAAATAAAGTGGTATAATTAAACAAACTGAAGGAAACGAAACCATTGCTGATATATCCGGAAGTATCTGTACTCCCTTTAATCTTGTCCACTCCCACATATTCTGAGGCAATAAATACTTTGGGAGATGCGCTCAGAAAATATCGTCAAGGAGGAATAGGTACTTTAGACACATTTTGATCAGTAAGTCTGAGCCCAGTTTTAAAGTGCCTTCAGAAATATATCTATTCTTTTTATTTCAAAGACGTGCAAATGCGCTCATATCATATCTTTTTCCTCTTTAAGTCTAGCAGAAGAGGAAGATTGTTGACTACCAGATGCAAAAATACTCTACGAGATGAGAAGTATAAATTCGGTGAGTGTGAATTTCTAGAGAAATTATGTAAGTACCTGGTGTAAAAAAACATTGTCTTGATGTTGTTTTAAATAGATATATATGTGCCTCCTGTTAATAAGGGAAATTACTACCCAGACTTAAAAACATACGTTTCTACGGGAAGTATAAATTAAAGTAATGCATATAACCGTCTGCTTGACTTGTGTAAGTTCGAAAAAAATGACCAATGAGTGTATTGGGAATAATTTCTAAAGCCGGAATACAATAAATCTATGTTCTCCATTAACCTGAAAACTAGCAACGAGCCCCGAAAAAAATTCTGATTTGAATACTTTTGCACCAAAAACTTGCCAATATATCACGGTAGCGTTACACAATTTATCCCTGTCTTTAAAGTAAAATCACAATCACGGAAGAGAAGCTAAAATTAGAAACAAAAGTCTCTATAGAGTAATAAATTTAAATAATGAATGTAGTTTGGCCTCATTCTTTCCATTTGGCTCTATTGATCTCTTCCACCAAAAACAGTCACAACACCTAAGATAATTTCGTCAAAGCCAATCCCTGGTCCGAGCGTTATGTGGCCTTCCGGCCTGGAGAATGTATCCATGTTCAGGGCAACTATAACAAATAATGTAGTCCCTGTATTTAGTTTTATTGATCTTCCTTTTATGTCGGACAGATACATGTATACACTTACTAACAGATTTACGGCACAGGAATCAGTACGATTCCCTATAAAAACTGGGCCTCTAAAGTAGACAGAGAGGGAGAGACCCCGAGAGATCGTCACGACTGTTCCTGCCTGCGTGCCAGGCCGTATGTGAGAAATATAGAGTACTTGAAACACAATGTTATCTGCTGCGTTTATTTAAGTCGCCGTTCTCTTCAAAAATTAGTAAACAACCGAGGGTACACCAACTACCCCTTAATTCAGGGACTTTTGACTTACTATAATACATGTACAAGTATTTTCACACACGTGGTTTTTATATCTTTGATTGACAGGCTTTCATACTGCTTGTTAATTTAAATGGTTTTTCATCAAAAATTTAATAAAACCATTTATTTTTATCCAGAGACCTGTGTCCCTGAAGTCCAGCCTCATCCTAACACCACCAACATATGTCCTCTTCTTGATGCTCTATGTAAGCTGTGATCTGCGTGACAATGGCGGCACAGCAGCAGAGACGCCAAGACGGCACAGTGAGTCTTCATTTCGCTCGGACCAGTACGCCCACTTAATAGCCCTCGCTTGCCAAGGGCTTTGCTATGAGTGCTATATGCACGGGATTTACAACCTGACTCACTGTACAACAACATGTAAGACATGGGCAGGTATTTCATTTGATGGATTTGACACATTTGCCGTAGATGTGACAAAGCACTGTTCTGCGTGACACTGCACGTACAAGTAGGCCTAAGCATGACCGACAAAGTCTTGTAGTCAAAGGGTCGTTGCCCTCAGTATTCTTATTGGACAAAGAAATTGTTTCTGTACAAGTGACACAAAGCAAAACGATAACTGAGTCGATGAATGGCTAATTGATATAATGGCAATTTGATATTGCCAATTAAGAAGCACAATAACGAAATGGAATTCTAATCTAGCAAAACTGCTGTCAAAGGTTCAATGAACAGAGTTCTTAACACCGAAGGAATAAAATATATGTCTGTTGTATATTTATTGTACGTGGAAACATAAAAGAACAAACACTAACGGATTTATAGCTAACAATTCACGGTATTGTTGATATCACATTATCTTTTAATCGGTGCTTTCATGAAAAAATAAACGGCCGATAATGAGGTACCGCAATACAATGAGACCATGCGTATCATGAAACTTACATAATAACTTTTATACGAACTTCTATCTTTTTCTATATTTTCTATTCTTAAATTTTTTTATTAATTTGTTAAATAAATGTACCAGTAGATTATGGACTCACACCGTTGACAAAAGCTTGTTTAAAACTGACGCAAAATCAAAATTCAGGAGTTTTATCCACCGGTACACAGATCCACACTATGAAGTATGTTCGTTAAGTGTTTAGCTCTAGGTGCATCTGCAATATATACACCTTGACGTCACTGTGAAAGCCAAGCAGTAAGGAGACATCAACAACTATCATTAGTACTGTACATTCGACTCCATTATTTCGGACGATTTGATTTTGAGGTTTTGCAGGCGTTGTCATATCCTTGCCAGTGTTTTTTCTTAGCACAACTTGGACGAGGTTACAGTTGACACCCAGACATTATGTTAAGGCATCTTATTTCTAGATATGAGTTGAAATGAAAAAGGTTTTAAAATTGCAAGCGTAAGTTTTTCTCCGAATGAAAAAGTATCTGCAGAAAACGAACCTCATTCCATCACCGTTTTCTTGTTTTGAACGACTACTGCGAGCCCTATTAGATTATAACAACCAGTCATAACGGCCAGGACGTTGTAAATTAGATATGCTATAGTTACATTTTGCTGTGGAATCAATATGGAGTTAGCTGAGGAAACTGCCATTATCTGCTAATTCAATTTGTTGCAGTAAATGAAATTCAAGAGTTGGCCTTCAGTGGAAGTAAAATCCTACAGTATGAGAAACTGGAGGCCTTATCTCAGTAAAGTTTCAATAATGTACTTGCGTATTCACCGATGGTTTGCAGGGGCGGATCCAGAGATATTTTGTGACAGGCTTCCGAATTATCTTTATTGATCCACCCTCCACTTTTGACCGTCTTCCGACAGAAAATAATGAGACATGACTTTTGTTGTGTGCGTTACGTCACAATAGGTGAAAAATTTTGGCTGATGAAAAAATTGATTTTGATCTTCCTTACGGTTTTTTCTTTCTAAATATAAAGTAAGATGTCTTGAAGCAGGGGTGAAAGAGAATGAGAGAAAGGCTTTGATTTACATTCGATTCTTGACGGGTTGGTTTTGAAGAGAGACTGCCAGACAATGTTTGTTCAATAGATATTGGTATTGGGACTAACTTAAGAAAATATTCCAATCATTTGCCCCAGCCAATTTATTCTATCACCACAAATTGTCATTTGTCTCGTGATATTGTACAATGTTCAGTATCGAAAAATTAAGTCTTCATCTAAAGCTTGCTGTTGCATCGATAAAGGAGGGTTTACAGAACACAGCGTCCACAATAAACATAATGAATATTTCATTTTCATTTCATAGTCACACAATTTTAACAGAGTTTATTAACAAGAAAAGGCGTGGTTACAGAACACATTCACGAGTGCCTGTCATGAGGGACAGTCTTTACTTATAAGATTTTATTGATTTTTCAGGATAGTAAACGTTCTCTTTTTTATGTAGCTTTAATCCTTCAGCTGTATAACTTTTAATACAGTCTTAAACTTATTTAATTCTTACTGCTTTTAAAGTTTTTAACACAACGACGCTTTTACAGGGCAATTTATCCCCGATATTGTGTATAATATTTATTTATTGGCTAAAAATATTTATCTTACCAAGGGAAGCTCGAAGCAAACGCATTATGAACTCTCCCGTATAAAGCAATGGGTTAAACTTATTAAAATCAATATACAGGAACATGTACAAACCATACTAGTATACGCAGTCACGCACATTCATTGATATTTAGTCTTACTTGCTTAACTCGGTTTGACATCCACAGAATGGGAGGCTGTCATGGTCTGTGGACAAAGTAAGATTCATTGCAGCTTTGAAGCGACTGCACCATGGCGATAACTCACATGACATGATGACACGATGAAATCTGCCAAATGAAAAATATACCCTTTTTTAACGCCTTCTAACGACACAATTGTAGTTGAAGCATGATTTCCAACAAAATGTAGAAAAACTTTTCAAAAATAATTACTTCTTTCTCTTTTTTTTTTTTTTTTGGGGGGGGGGGGTTACATCAACATCAACACGTATTGTACTATTTTAGGGAAAGTTCGTAAAAACCGCATGTATGTTTTTGCACAGGTACACATAAAATGTGTACAGTGGTTGGACAGTGGTAGTGCTGTCCAATAACAAATGACCAGGAGTTCGTCCGCTTAGATTTCACATTGTCCATTTTTTAAATTCAATGATTAAGATTGGAAATTTCACCAGGGCCGATGTTTTGACGGACATCTCTAAAAATTTCAGTTTTTATTTGATACAGTTATAAAGTAAATTTATTGATTAACATTTTCTGTACTCAAGTATTGACCTTCAAAAGTGTTTGTGAAAGTTTTGTTTCATGCTTTGGAGCAGCTAGTTGACGTGTTAAACCAAAAAGCATCTTCCATAAAAAGCAATAGTAGAAAGCGCATGCGCTTTGATGTATCCTATTGTATTATTGTCTGTTTGCTTAATTCTTTCTCTTAATAAGCTGGGTATGTTCTCAAAGGGGTATAAAAGGTAAGCGCCCGTGAGTATTTTTAAAACGCTTTAAAAGCTACCACATTGTACCATGCGAGCTCTCCTAGTTGTGTATATTTCCTGGATGTTTGCTTCAATTTGGGCAACTAAGGTAGGTGCATAAAGTACGGTGCCCTGACAGAGGTTTTAAACATGTCACTAAGGTAGACGATAATCTGCCTTGATAAGGGTGGTGACAGGCACAACTAAGGTAAGTATTACTTTTTCCTCTCAAAGGTGCCAAAACATGAAACTGACGCATAATGTAGACTCACTTTTTTCTTTCACAAATTAGAAGCAGCATATTCTAAAATTTTATTCAAAATAGCAAATGGGTGTTATGTTTGATAGAGACGGTACTCATTGGCTATCAACGGCTGTCATACTTGTGACTGGAATCATTTCAGATTGGCACCGACAGTCAAAGTAACGATGAACCATTTTAGTTAATGTTAAAATTCTACAAAATTCAGAATGCACCACTTTTGGAGGGAGATTCTAGGTGTGTGAAATATAATATGAAATATTATGACACAAAGAAAAGTCCAATATATTTCCAGAACAATGACAATAAACATGTTACAATGTTTTGTGGACAGTGTACGTCAAATAAAAAGAAGTATGTTTTGCATCTTTTATATGGCAGATATGTGAAAGTTACTTATCAATGTAGTAAATCCAACAATTACAAAATATAAGTAGATTGGACGTCAAAGGAAACGTGGTAAACACAAAACAATAGCAGTTCCTTTAACATTGATTTTGTATTCCAGAAGCCTGAATTCCAATTTGAGCGTAATGGAATCCACTACATTATATCTACATTTGACAGAGAGACGTACAGAATGGTGGTTACCATCCCAGAAAACTATCGAGACAACGACAAATCCATTATCATCCATGATTTTACCAAGGTAGGTGTACTTTATATTATTTGAAACCTGTGTCATCATTCTAATCTTACTTTAGTCATATTTCTATTTCGTTAGACCTGAGCAATTCGTACTGCTTTGAGCTTACCAATTTTAAATGCTATTGCATGCCTTATTTCATCGATACGTCTTGAAAATGTATTGGCTTTCTTGTGCCATCTGCTTTAATGAATTTTGTTCTCTTCACATTTGTATTGAACTTCTGTTGCATATTTTGAAATGTTTTGTATAAGAAATTAGCGGTCCACTATGAAGAACACCTCCTTTATTCCAACATGAAAAGTTTCCATCAGTGATAAATAATTTATCAGATAAATAAACCAATTCACAATCATTATTACATCTGTCGAAAAAAAGGCTTTCATGGAAATGTTCTGAAAGTACCTTAGCTGACATTTAAATATTTTACATTCATATGTATATATTTGAATTAAAAATTTTCAGAAGGTAACTATCTACAAAGATGTCACAGATTCAACTTGCTTCATCTCTCCCATATACGATGACGTCGTGGACAAAGGGCTGCTTTTTCTGAAAACAGTTAGGACCAAGGAAACTGTAAGTTCTTTTTGGAAAAAAATTGTGGTATTCAGGTGAGGCAGTTTTTTGTTGATGTTGCTGCTGTTGTAATGGCATGTAAGCCAACAAACAATCTTTTAAACCGACGTTGTGCACATTATACAGTAAATAGAAACTGCCTTTCCAATTCCTCGTGCGAAAGAGAAAGCGTTATCGAAACAACCTATGGTAAGAGGATTAAAGGTCAAGGGACGTTATGCATAGCTATGTTGATTCAGAAACATATTTGAATGTAGTAAAAGATAAGAATATATGTTTAACAGTATATGATCTTTAACTTAAACATTCACAGCTTTCGCGATAAAATAATTAGGGACAAAATGATGTAGGTTACTGTTTATCATACTGAGATTTCACTCCTAATTGCAGGTCGACTACTCCGATGTTTCAGTGCTTCTAGAGACAGTCGTAAAGATAAAACCAGAGAAACTAGGCTTATTTGGAACTAAAGTTGCAATTTGTCAAAATTCTGACACTTATCTCGTAAGTCGGCGAAAATTACCAACTTCTGCCTACAACAAGACTCCCATTGAGCTTGGGACAACATTTGTGAGGATTTTTGCAAAGATTACGCTAGAGTAAATCACGAAGACGGCATACTGTCTAATAAATGGATAACCCATCTTGTCATATTTATTTACATATGCAGAATGTTCCTTTTACGTCATATTTGATTAAAACTGAATGGATAAATCATGACATTATCAGTCATTTGTAATTTTTATATTGTCAACTATAATGGATTAGGGAGTGGATTGGAGAGCTTCGTCCTTATTTATTTATTTTATTTTTATTTTTACATTTCATCTCAAATAACATACGCTTTGTGTACCACGGGGAAGCATGTCATGCAAAGGTTCGATGTAAGATGTAAGATCGCATCTTACTACAAACATATAACCGCCTTGCGAATAGTTTATCATTCAACATTAGTAAACATCAATTATACTTCGAATCTCTTA